AATAAAAATGTTATAATAATGCCATGTTGAGGGTCTATCTTAGTATGAGTTGGCGGTAAGAAACTTTGATAAAGATATGTATTTGCCTAACTTCACGTTGGTGTTATCAAAGAGACATCAGAAAGTTGCACTCATGATACCATTGCTATTAAAAGTTTGTGCGTTTTGGAGGTTAGGTTTTATGTGTGAAACACTTGATAGAGTTCGTTACTACCAACTCATACAAAAATAGACCCTTAACATTAATATTAGAGAATTAGAGAAATTGGCTCTTTATTTTAACTGTCTTTTCAAACGCATTCCAATGTTATATGGCAAGGCTGTGTTATGAAGAACTTTCCATACTAAATATTGACGAAAGCCACGTGGTTGCTTTGCAATCAGGCGTTTTTCTCAGATTGTCAGATAGAAAATTTAACCTAGAAACCGCACAAATGTCAAATAACGATGTTAAGCAACAGGGTCTTTCTGACCCAGCCTCATAACACACGAGTGACGTTGTAGTTTATGTGTAAAACTGCCTGAATGCACAGCAAATACATGGCATTTTGACAGTATTCAGTATTTTTCAGTAGCATAATGTATGGAAGTAAAAGGGTAACATGGCCTTGCCATAACTTTGCACTGTTGTGATGCAGAATCGGTCCCTTAGTCACCACAAAAACAAGTTTATATTACACTAACCAAAGTCAACGCTCGTAATGAATTTCTTACTCTTAATTAAGTCATCAACCCACAATTTGCTTCCATTATTATCATTTACCAAGTAGCCCAATAATTATTATTTGGGCGCCCACGTCCGTCGCCTTATTCGACACCTTATTTGTTGGTGACTTGGCAGGTAAGTAGTTTTTATATTTTTTGCGTACGGTTATTCAACTTGTATTGAGTTTAGCCCACATTTGATTTGTCGTTGGTATTCCGGCTTTGTTTCGCCTTTGTACTGTTATTAATCGAATTCAATTCGATTCAATATTCAAATTGGCAAATATTCACTTCGAATTTTGTAGGTATGAATGAATGAGGTAGGAGACACCGGGGGTAAAGAAAATAGATAACTATAATTCATCCAATTAGTAAACAAAATTATAAAGACACTAATGACTAGAAAGTAAGAGAATAGGTTAATTTTAAGGGGAAAAAATTGGTATATTTTGGATTTAGCTTTTCCCTTACCTTACTAATATTCTATCGTAAAATTAGATAAATTTCTTGAATTATATTTAGTACGTATGAATAAACAAGAGAGGGGATGCCGGGGGTAAATAGAGTAGACAACTTCAATCCATTCTCTAATGTTAATAAAATTATAAAGTAAGTTAACAAAATTATAAAGTTATGACCATGAAGTAAAAACTGCTTAAATTACATTTGTTAAATATAAATTGATACCTGTCTACACATATTTTTCCTGAGAATTTTACCTAAATTGTATCAGATTTACTCAATTTTCTGAAATTGTAGGAGGGGTGTATTGCTAAAAAACTGCAAAATTAAAGAGGAAATTGTATGTACTAAGAAACTGCAAATTTTGGGAGAAGCCTAACACTTACATAACATATTTTAACAAACCACTTTGCTATTTGATGAAAGATTCTAAAAGTACATAAAGGCAAAATAAATTGCCACTTCAACCAATTTTTACCTTTGAAGCAAAAATCTAAAAAGTAGACCTTCAAAAAAAGAGTAGAAGCATGGTTTATTAGTTTATAGGCAATGTATAAGTTTATAGACAAATTTCTACAAATTTGACCACGAAGATTGACCAGCATTGATTTTAACTAGATTTGATTTAGAACTTTAAAATTGTGCAACCGCGCAAAAAACTGTAAATTTTTGGAAAGAGCCTAACATTACATAACACTTTATGATAGTACAAACCGCTCATAAAATATTTTAATAAACCGCATGTAATTTGACAAGAAACTCTAAAACTGCAAAAAGACAAAATAAATTGCTGTTTCAACCAAATGTTTATCTTTAAAGCAAAAATCTAAAGTTGACAGTCAGAAAAAGAGAAGAAGCATGATTTAACAATTTATAGGCAATGTACAAGTTTATAGTCAAATTTCTTTAGATAAAGTACTTTAAAATTATGCAAGTTGAACTGCGCAAAAAAACTGCAAATTTTGGGAGGACTTACATAACATAGTAAACCGCTCATAAAATATTTTAACAAGAGTCTTAGTAATTTGATGAGAAACTCTAGAAGTGCAAAAAGACAAAATAAATTGCCAATTCCAGCAATATTGTCTTTTGACCAATTATCTTTGGAGCAAAAATCTAAAGTTGACCATCAGAAAAAGAAGAGAAGCATGGTTTATCAGTTTGTAGGCAAATTTGTCCAAATTAGACCAAGAAGATCGACCAGTATTGATTTTAAAAGTACTTTAAAATTGTGCAAGTTGAACTGTGCAAAAAAAACTGCAAATTTAAGGAGGAGTAAGAGCTAACACTTACATACTTTTTTAAAAAATACCACTTTGAAGTAAAAATGTAAAGTTGATCATCAAGAAAGGAGGAGAAGCATGGTTTATCAATTCCTAGACAGATTTCTACAAATTGGACCATGCAGATCGACTAGTATTGGTGTTAAAAGTACTTTAAAATTGTGCAAGTTAAACTGTGCCAAAAACAGCAAATTTCTGGAGGAGCCCAATACTTACATAATTAATAAATAAATTGCCAAACCAAATTTTTATCTTTGAAAAATCTATAGTTGACCATCAAAAAAGAAAAAAAGCATGATACATCAGTTTGTAGATAAGTTTATACAAATTGGAGCATGAAGTATTAATTTTAAAAAAACTTTAAAATTGTGCAAGGTAAACTGTGCAAAAAGCAAAAAATTTCTGGAGAAGCCAAATTTTCATCTTTGAAACAAAAATCTAAAGTTGACCTTCAGGAAAATAAGAGAAGCATGGATTATCAGTTTATAGACAAATTTCTAGAAATTCGACCATGAAGATTCACTGGTGTTAAAAGTACTTTAAAACTGTGCAAAAAACTGCAAAATTTGGGAGGAACCTAACGCTTACGTAACACTTTCTAAAATATTTCATCAAACTTTTGCAGCAATATTCTGGAGAAGAATTTAGCATTTTTATCAAAAAAGTAAGTTCTCACTCCCATATCTAATCAATTTTTCTAGTATATTGTTCACCCCAGTCTCCTCTAATATATGGTCGATATTTGCTAACTACTCTTTAACAATTTAATATTCAGTTCTCGCAAATCGGACGACCTATTTGCCCAAACTTTTTTTTAATTTATAGGACAAATTGTCCGGATATGAACGGTTTATTGATTGGACGTGATTTTAATAGTGATTGATATTTGTTTATAATAATAAAGCTGTTTTTACTAATTTACTTGTTTGTATTTGAAGTAGAAGTAACACTGGCGACTTATACTATTGTCAAATTTATTGCCATATGTAATCTAAATATATTATCTGCAAATTTACTAGATGTCGACTAAAGAGAGTTGTAAATTATATGGTGAAATAAATAAAAAAATAATGTAATAGTCAATAAGCTAAACTATACTATGCCTACATTTCAAGTTCATAAGACAATCGGGGTATTTTATAAAAAATATTAAATATAGCTATAACATGTTTGAAACCCTCATCATCTTTAAAAATTCTGACGTCTTATAATGGGCTTTTACTATTAATATTACATTTTATCTAATTATCTATTTCGAACTGCACTTAAATATTTTAATTTTAAGATAACCACTTTCATATATAAAATCTATCTACTAGCTTAAATCTTTTAATTTTATTACGGAAACCGATACGAATACATATATTAACGCTAATTGATATCGCCAAAACATTTATTTTATCGATTATGCAAAATATCAATTTGCTAATTGATGACATACAAACTGATGTCAGAATTTTAGATACTAATTTGGCGAAATGGAGTAGTTTCTATATCTGCGTTCCAAATTTTTCGTGAGAACTCAATTTGTAAATATTAATATTGGAATTAATTAGTTGTTGATGTTATTTATGATGTATAAATTCAATAATCTTGTAAAATTTGTGCAGATTGATTTAACAAATTGGCGATTTTGAATATTAATATCGAATTAACAAGATGGGAGCAGATTGAATAAAAAATTTACAAGTTAGTTGCTTAGGTATAACTAGTACCTTTGGCCATTCACAACTCATATAGATATTATTTCTTCATTTATTTTCTAAGCACAAGATTTCAAGTCTATATCAATATATTCGCAGTTATATCAATTTATTTTTATATAAAGTACTCAACCAGGATTCGATCCGAATACCTCTGTATCATTTACTTCAGTTTCCTACATACATCTTGCTAAATTTTTATTATGTAATATGTTCTTAAATTTACTTTGTGTTACAATTATACTAAAACCTAGACCCATTACCATGGTTTCGCAAATTTAAAATGTTATCATCGATGTCATCTTAGAGACCCACTCCCACAATAATCAACATAATCACCGTTAATATACCTGTTGTCTTAGAACAATTACGAAAAGCAGCAAAAACTCAACAGCAAAAAAAAACATTAGTGAAAGAAACGATCTTAAGAAACGAGTTTGTAAATAATTTTGGCAATCGGCCGAGCGTTAATCTTGAAGATTATGACATAACACGACCGGCGACTCGACAAAATGTACAGTTGGCCAATTTTATGGATTGCCAAATAACTGTGAATTGATAATAAAAACAATCCTGTAGTAAAAAATCATTCATTGGTAATTGAATTAAAAATGCGATAAAGTGAATTTGAATATTACGAAAAAGAAGGGTAAATAGGGTTCTTTCAAGGGTTTACTTGTTGTAACTGCATCTTTTTGCTGCAACACAATTTTAGATGCAGTTCACTTGTAACTGCATCTTTTTACTAATTATAGCATTATTTTTTTTTTCATTTTATACAATTACATATATATATATATATATATATATATATATATATAAATGATAAATATTTAAAATTACTTACATTTTGTTATTACTCCACTAAAGTTCAAGATAGAAATACATCTGTAATAGACAAAGAAAAATATGTTAGTAAGATATGAAATAAATATTTATAAGCATAATAAATATAAACAAATGTTAAAAAAAGTGCATTAGCATTTATTACTAATTATTTATTATTATTATTTTGGAAATTTTAATCATCGATAATAAATCTTTATCATTTAAATTTTTAAACTTCTCCTAGGGCCAGTTGTAGTAATCGCAAAAAAATCGAAAATGAAAATTTTTATATATCATTACGTTTGAAAACCTTCTGAACATTTTAGCATACCTTAGAAAAAATGGATGAATGTGTGTGTGTGTGTGCGTGCGTGTATGTGTGTGTGCGGATACAAATTTTCGTCGACGATTGCGGGAACACGGATGAAGCGATTTGAATAATTCAAAAAACATTCGATTTGTATTGATAAGGAGACGTGCTGATTAGTTTTTGGCGAAGGCAGGACTAGCCGTTCCAAAGATACGAGGCAAATGCGCCTAAAACGATAACTCAGTTTTTAAGAGAACGGAGCGTCCGATTTGAATAATTCAAAAAACATTTTATTTGTATTGACTAAATAAAGAACTGTTTAAATTTTTGGAGAGGCAGGTCTAGCGGTTTCGGCGATCTAGTGAAAAAAAAAGTAAAGAAAATGCCATTTAGCGGTCAAAAATGATCATTAGACATATGAACATCAAATTATCAGATGTTTTATATAGATTTTAACAATAAGTATAATTTTTATTTACATTCCTATGGGTTCCATACCAATGTTTATCCGTTAGACGGCGACGCGGCTCTTACGCGCTTCGATATTTCGTTTTATGCAGTTAAAACAGTACGATTACTTTGAAAAAAAGTTCAGACTTTCCAAAATATTTGAAAATAAATTTTTCTTCAAAAAGTCTTTTTTTCAAAAAAAAGTACATTTTTGTCAAAAATTTATAGATTTTCAAAAATCTAATTTTTTCAAAGTAATTTTTTTTCAAAAATGTTAATCTTTTTAAAAAAAAATAATTTTTAGTACGGGAAGTTCCAGCAATTTGCCTTAAGGCACGATGCCATGCGCCCCACTAGTTATGACATATTTTCTTTAGAATATATACTTAATATTTTTTTATAAGTTGAAATAAGGTATAAAACTTATGATAAATACAGCTATAAAAATAATGCACAAGGAATCTTTAAACAAAATGCTATTTAATATCTTTCCATACTGTTAATTTCAAACGCTCTGTTTAATTATAGAAAAATATCATTGAAAAAAAATTATCTTCTTCTTATATATAAAAATTGAGCGCGATAAAATGTTAAATTCGCTAAAACACGAAAATGACTGCACCGATTTGGCCAGTGTTAGTCTTGAAATATTCGTGCTAATCCAAGGTTTGTGCAAAAGGTGAGAAATTGCTTCAAAAATGCTTCCAAATTTTACATCTTTAATTTGAAATTTTTTGTAAAAGCGTAATTAAAAATGAAACAATCGTCGACGGCTCATACGTCAAATGTAGTATTAAGTAGTAAGTAGTTTCATTCGTAAAGTTCAAGATGCATTTATATGTAGCATGCGTTGCACTGAGTAAACCATGCTCTTAATTCGTGTTAGTTTCCTCTTTTACCACATACTTCTCGTTCATAATCAGTTATTTTTTATAATAAAGGTAAAGATTTTCTAGAGATATTTTTTATGGTTGAAAAATTTTCCGGACCAGGTAGTTTTTAAATAAAATTCCAATATTATAATAAAATATAAGGTAGAATTAATCATTTTTGAAGGTATCAGTACAAACATTTCCAGTATTTTGGAAATAGTATTAATTTGTCAGCATTATTAGCATCTTTTACTAATATGAAGTAAAGTAAGATCTCTCTTAAGACATGAACATGTGATACTTTCATTAGTTTCGATTATTTTTATTTACTTTCAATTATAATTATTATTATTGATTCTTTATCAAAAAAGTCACATCCATTGTTTCAGAACACTTTCCCTTCATCTTTTTCCCTATGTGCGGATAAAATCGACCTGTTACTTTTGCAAACGCACAATTTATATTACATTACATATTGATATAATAAATATTTGCATAGAGAACATGTTTTCATAAAACATACACGCAACATCTCGATGATCAGGAACATTTTATTTAGTCTTCTCAAGAGATAGTTTCCGTCTTTCGCCCGACTGATAAAACTGACCGACAGACGGACAGACGGACGAGATTACATTATTCGATTCTGCACGAATGAAAGCAATTATGTACATATGTAAATAAAGATGAAACACACACTTGAAAAAGTACGAACTAGTTGTAAGTAGCATTTTGCCTTGGCAAATTGCACGAACTTCCCATTACCATACATATATTTGGACAAATGTATGTAAGTATTAATTGTATTGGCCATGAAGGCGGCAATCCTCATGGCATTGAGCTTTTACATCCTGTAGAAGGAGTAGCTAATTTGGATCGGGCTTAATTTTCTCACTTCTAAGACTAATGTCTGCGTAACAACTGTGGGAGTAGTAATGTATATGAAAGTATAAACTCCACTTGTATAAAAATATATACAAAATTTATTGACTATAAAAACATTACGATATCAAAATGACAAGTCCAATTGTTTTTTTTTTCGTGACTAGCCTGCTTGATCCCCACGCAACATATTTAATAATTGAATAATTATATCTTCTAGATATAGACAAATCATTAGTGTAATAAGAACTTGCAACAAATACATAAATTATATCAACAAATCAATGTCTCATACAGTCCACAGCTACAAAGATTAAATTATAATCCTTGTGCCAAGCATAGCTCACTTAGCAACGTGTTCGATTCACACGATAGGGGTCTTTGGATCGAATCCTGTCAATGACTTAGAATTTATAACAAAAATATGTGTACTTAATTTGAGATTAAATAAAATTGCATTTTTGTTAAGTAGAAATTGAATAAAATTTAAGAAAAATAGGGATTACAAAATTCGAATAGCTGAATTATATTAAGAGTAAGAAGAAAAAAAATTAGAATTTGCTGATATTAAAAAGAAGAATGAAAAAAACAAAAATGGAATGAAGACAGAAGTTGAATAGAATTAAAAATTTGATATAAAAAGGCAAGAATTGAAGAAAATTAGAAGAAGAAAAATTAAGAATGGTATAGAACAGGATATATATAGACTGAATATGATATAAACAAATAGTATAGAATATAATTAAATAAAAATGTTGTAGGTGGCTAAATGCTCAGAGTAAGGCCAAATAAAATTTAAAATTAAAAAAATAATAATAACCCAACAACCTGAGTTATCGAAAGATAGTTTTAATAAATTCCATAAATAAGCACTTACAACATATACATAAACGACTTAATCAATTACAATTGAGATTTAGCTTAGGTAAAATGTTCAACTGTTATTTCAAAAATAAAACTTTCGCTGTCTTTACAAAATATTCAAATCTGATCCCAATTAGTATCTGTAATTGTATGAATTCATTTAACACATTTCATCCATTTTGAGATTTAAACATGTATTTTATTTAAGTCAACTACAATCAGTAGCTACGAAACATTACAGAACACAAACATTTTAAAGTTTGATTTAATTCAACCGTTCATCAAAGGTGTTTGATATTTTATTATGTTATTTCATACTAAGAAATATATCTAATATCAATTTTTAACTTCCCGTAGGGTAAGTTATAGTAATCGTCCAAAAATCGAAATCAAAAATTTTTACATTTCTCGACGTTTTGAAGGTTTCTGAACATTTTGGCTTACCTCAGAAAAAATGGATGTGTGTGTGTGTGTGTGTGTGTTTTGTATGTCCGCGTTTTTTCGTCCACGTTTTCGGGCGCACGGATCAACTGATTTGAATGGTTTAAAAAACATTCGATTCCTATTGATAGGGAGATGTGCTGATTAGTTTTTGGCAAAGGTAGGTCCAGCCGTTACGGAGATATGGAGCAAAGAGTGCAAAAAATAGAAAGCGAATTTTTGAGAGAACGGATCAACCGATTTGAATGGTTTAAAAAACATTCGATTCCTATTGATAGGGAGATGTGCTGATTAGTTTTTGGCAAAGGTAGGCCCAGAGGTTTCGGAGTTACAGAGCTAAATTAAAAAAAAATGGCTGTTTTTGAGAGAACTAAGCGTCCGATTTAAATGATTCAAAGAACTTTCTGCTTTTTTCAACAAAACAATTGATTTTGGAAAAAAAAATTTTTTGTTTCTAATTTTTTTTCAAAAATTTTTTTTTGTAATTTTGGACTAAAAATTCAAAAAATCACCCAAGCTAAGCACAGTCTAAGCGCCACTCTGGTAGAAATGTTTACGCAAGTGCGTTTAGACTGTTTGTGTACTGGAGCACTTTTCCAATTTTGTGAAAATTATTGAAAAATGTGAAAATGCCGCCAAACTGAGCACAGTATAAGTGAAAATGTCGCACAGAATTATTTGCAAATGCGTTTAGACTGTGACTATGCGGGAGCACTTTTTCAATTTTGTGTAAATTTGGCAACTATTTTTTTTTTGGAATTTGATTCGAAATGAAATGACGATTGTTAATGTTCTGGAGATCATAAATTGATTTATTTATAATTAACTTTCCATAGGGTAAGTAATCGCAAAAAAATCGAAAATGAAAATTTTTATATATCTTCACGTTTCAGAGGTTTCTGAATATGTTGGCATACCTTGGAGAAAATTGATGTATGTGTGTGTGTATGTGTGTGTGTGCGTGCATGTGTGTGTGTTCGGATACAAATTTTCGTCGACGATTTCGGGAACACGGATAAAGCAATTTGAATAATTCAAAAAACATTCTAGCCGTTCCGAAGATATGGGGCAAAAAGGGTCAAAAACGGTAACTTAGTTTTTAAGAGAACGGAACGTTCGATTTGTATAGTTCAAAAAATATTTTACTTGTATTAACAAGATGAAGATTTGATCAAATTTTCATGAAGATAGGACTAGCGGTTTCGGAGATCTAGTAAAAAAAACTAAAAAAAAATAACATT